AAAATATTTGTTACTTCTTTATCCCATATTGCAGACGGACCCCCTTTAGTTGCCTTAGACATTTTGAGACTATATGGAACAAATTAAAATATAAAATAAGCACTTTCGTAATTAAACAACTTTTAAAATAAAGACTTAACAAATTCAAGAAACAATAAGCTAAGAAACAATAAGCTAGAAATAAACAACCACAACCAACATAATATCCACAACGTTGCAACGTATGAATAAAGAAAAATACAAATACACGAGTGATTTTAATGTGGTTCGGTCAGAGATCTTCCTCCACAGAAGGAAACCCACGTAAATTTTATTAACCAAATCGGAAAAAATACATATATGTGCTACAAAAAAAGTACAAATATAAGTACAACTATAATTCTCACATTGAACCTTAATTCTAACATAGCACTATAACCAAATCGGAAGTGAAGTTCCAACTTTCAAGAGATACTCTGGAAGCCATGTTGAGATCAATGACTTGTAATAATGATCAAATATTAGATTCTGTAAGTACCTAAACCTTCACTGTTATCTGTATTGTAGAAATAGAGGTGATGTTAAACCAGTTTATGCTTAGATGGTGAGAAAAAAGGCTCCTGCTGTACCACTTAATTCTTCTAGCATACGATTCGAAAAGAGGGGCAACAACTGTAAGGAGCAAAACTGGACTCAAAGCAACAACAAAAAGTCCTAGAAACCAAACTTCAGTTGTTTATGTACTCCAATCATAGAATGCCTCAAAGAAACAGCAAAAATCATGCCTCAAATATGTTCAACACAGAGCCATCCCAAAAGCAAGACCTAACCCAATATGTAACTAAAAAAATAGTCGTCACGAGACAAAATCAGGCCCAACATAAGGGACAAAGCTGAACCATTTCGAGGCAAAACCGGGCCCCAAATCTCAGGCCAAACTGAGCCCAGGAAAGGGGCAAAAACAGTATAGAACTTACAACTGAAATCCAGTCCTCTAGGGGCCAAAATCGAGCCCATCAAACGGAGAAGGATAGTACATAACTTTAAGCATTTATTTGGAGAGGAATAAGAATAATAAAACTCAAGAATGAAGTCCCAAATCATCACTTCAAAATCATCACTTCACGAATAAGTAAATAACAGAAAATATGACAACCAAAATAATATTCCAACATAAACATTGCATTTCACATTTTTTCAACATATAATATTCCAACATAAACATTGCATTTCACTCATATGTTTCAGCTCCCCAATTCTATAACCATTCTCATTCGTAACATTAAACTCATTAAAATCATTCTTGCCATAGTTCAAACAATTGTAACTAGTTTGCATGTAAGGGTATGTAATTGACTAATGATCATGAATATTTTTTATAACTTTCCTCAATCTTCAACTTTGTGTTGTACTTGAGTACATGATTTACTCAACCATATAAAATTAATAGAACAAACCATGGTTAAATGGATCATAAGCATTTTCACAGCTGCAAATAAAAATTAGAACTATGAATCTTCATCCCAAACAACTTGATTGATAAATCAAGGCCTTTGAATTAGACGGGTCCTAATTGAGAATGCGACCTTATAGTTCTGAATTCAAATATAAATCAGAACTATAAATCAAGGCCGTTTATTAGACTGCGAGAAAGTTTTTGTTATTAGAAGATTGCAATCAACACGACAAACTAAAAGATTGGAAATGAAAATTAAGAATACAGATTTAAAGAAGAAGAAAAATTATGATGAATTTAAAAAATTAAATTGAATAATCAAGAAAAATCTTTGCTATAGAGGGTAAGAGGACCTCCATGCTTTCAGTCATTTACCAGAGAAAAAAGGATAGACCAGGTAACAATAAGGAAGAAATCATATACCTTTTTCATTTTATATGTAAGTTATGCAACAAATGAAATACTCAGAGCCAATACCTCCAAGCAAAGAACGCTTGCTACAAAACAGATGCCCGAAATTTTAAAGCCACATTTCAAATATCTGAGATGCCTGAAAATATCTCAGATAAAATGCCACATATCCACACTTCTAAATATAAACACAAATCCAACAACCAGGTTTCTAGGATCACGGCTAGCAACACAAATCCAACGGTCAGGTAAAATGCCAACCTATCTCAAATGCCCTAAAAACCAAAAACCAGAGAAAATGCTATAACCAACGATCTAACATTTGCCATAAACAACTAATGCCATAGATCTAAAATATCGGCGCTTGTATGGATCAGAAAGGAAACCAGCGATAGTTCCTTGCATAGATCAGAGCAAAAAAAGCATTCCAGGAAAATCAAATGGATACCTGATTATCAGCAAAGAAAATAAAGGAAGAAGGTTTGATCTCCTCTAGGGCGACGAAATAGAAAGGAAACCAGCGAGGGAGACGGTAAGGGATATCGAGGGCACCTCCGGAATTCCTAGGGGTAACGCAGATTTCTAACGCCGGACGCGGGGCTCGCACAGCGACTTCGCCCCTATTTGTTTTATCGGACGCTGACGCGGAGCGATGGGAAAACGCCAACCGAATGCACTTGTCAAACAGGAAGGCGACGTCCTCATAACGCCGCCACTCACAATAAGCACCCCCAAACGGGCCCTTACTATGTCGGGAACTTATTTCCTTTTTTCATTTTTAATACTTATAAGATATACATCCATAACTAACACACTATGCAAGAAAATTTTTTTAAAAATACTTTATAACCTTTGTATAAGAAAATTTATTTATTTATAAATGAAGTCTATTCATGATTTGATTGTGCCACATTCAAAACTAATTAAGTGCTGCGTTGATTTTTCAAAATATATATTCACCGTTCCAGAAGTCTTATGTTGTAATTCCTTTGTTAAATTAAATTTAGTTTCTTTTATTACATTTCTTGTTTTTATTTCATTCCCACCATTTGTCCTTTTTATTCCTGCGAATTTAATTTAAATTTTGAGTATCACTTGAAAATCCAATTGTTTTGTGGTTAAGATCTAGATTCAAATTGTAATTAATAAGCAGACTGTACATGACATGGCTGATTTAGAGCGAGCTTATATTGAGCTAGAGATCAAATTGCGCGAGATTGAGATAAAACGACGCAGGTACTTATTTTTAGAAGAGCATATGTGTGTGTGCATGCACTCTGATATTTATGTAGATTAGATTAATAATTTGTTATAAAATATCAAGAAATCATTGAATTCATGAAAATGACATTGATGTTTTGATTCAGATTGAACTTTTGATGTAAATGAGCTAGCCCTAGTCTAATCGAGATTGGATAGATTTTGTTATAGCTAGGCTTAGTTCAGCATAAGATCTTATCAAATGATTTTGTGTTATTCTTAATCTTGGTTCAAATTTGCTTGAGATTGGATCTTTCACAACCTTAATCCTCTTATAGGCTATCTTTCTAGAACTTATGTCCATTTAAGTTAACCTCTAAAAACTATCCTCTCTTACACATTATAGTTAGTTAATGTCTCTTATTTTCTAGCCTATATGTAACTTGAGGAGCATAAACAGGAATTAAAATTTTAATATCCTTATAAACGATTAATTTAATATCCATTATCATAAATCATATTCACCTCAACAATTTTCTTAGATCCATGTTTTATTACATTACCCGCTAAACATTTTAATAATTTTCCAACCTTCAGTAACTTATAACATTACTTTATGTCCTTAGATTTTTTTTTTCTACTTTCATTTGAATTTTCGTCATTTTACTAATAAATGATATTGATTCTTTTTCCATTCATTGTGTGTACTAATTCTCTTTTATATTAGTGTTTAAATTTTATGTAGTAAATTTAATCATAATCTAATCATCGAGTCCGCCCAATACTTATTTGTAGGTTGGATTAATAGTTTGTCGTAATATAATCATATTAATCACAAATAAATGATATTTTTCCCTTTTTGTGCCACATTTCACAAATAAATGATTTTGATTGTGGTGCTTTATTTCTTGATAACTACCTAGCATTAACTATATTCAACTTTTGCTGTGAACCCAGCGCTAGAGATATACTTCCACAAGATCTCTTTATTCAGCAAGCCAATATACTGCTAAGAATCGATCAAACCAACAAATATATGTTTATTCACCTGACAATAGGCCTCTCATCACCACTAAAGCTAAGTCTTCCTAAACACCTAAGAAATCCTAAAACAACCCCCACCACAAAGCTGTTGTTGAACAAAGACTTGACTATCTCTTGTAGATAACCTCCCTAAAGTAAACCTCGAAGCTTTAAAAATCCAACAATGAAAACAAATTGCATAATGTGTTATTCTTGAAATTTAATTTTTAGTTTTGATTATGTTGGATGATCATTTACACAGTTTTTCCTTTCGGTGCATGCACAATTACTATAACATAATATTATAGTTCTTTTGTTTACTTATGGAAATTGATTTCTTTAGATCATAAGCCAAGCCTAGGCAAATAAGTTAAAAATATGTCCCCACGCTGTCCCTTTTAGCAACCACACCTACTAATGTGGCTAACTTAGGTTTTACATAACACAAATAATTAAAATTATAGTTACTTCTCCCTCCACATCTCTTTCGTATTTTAGCTTATTATTCCTTAATTCATAAGGATACATAACTATTTTTTACTTGAGTGCTTGTGAGCGAAGGGATATCCAAAGGAGTGAAGATTTATTTTATTTTATTTTATTTCTTTTTTTTGGCACCATCAGTTGGGAGCATTAATTGTTCAAGCAGAATAATATGTGGTATATTTTTTTTTAAACTTCACTGAACTTTTATCTAGTTTTCCATTGAATTGGCCGACTGGTCTGATCTTTACAGCACTGTATTTATATTTGTATTGGGATAAATGGAGATGCAGCCAGCAGAAGAGGCCAGTTGATTGCAGATTATATTACTAATTCCTATGGCCTATGAAATTGAATTTATCTTGAAATATTTAGAAGATGTAGTTTTGTTTTACTGGGTACTGTGATCATCTTTTTCTTAATATAAAAATGACCTTTTATTTTGCAGCAAAGAATGGAGATACCATCAGGTTTTAGAAGGTTATTAGGTTCAAAATTGAGGAGACTTGTTGCACAAAATAAAATAGAAAAGGTAATCATCTCTCTCCTAAAACACTGTAATAATCTTCCCTAGTTGTGATACGCGTATATATTGTACGTATCTTCTGAAAGCTTGATTTTCATGGGTTTTAACAGTTCACAACATTCTGTTTTTCGATGAAGAATTATTATTTTTCATTCATTTCACCGATAAAGTACTTGCAATCCCATTTTAAGGATCTATAAATGATAAGAGAATCATTATTAGGTTATTTTTTATTCGTTAGTGTCTGGGATACTTATAGGTGATTTTGGTGCACCTATAAGTTGATGCATAAATTGGATCGTGATCTAATATTTGTATCTTTGTATGCATAAATTGATGCAAATCGCATAGTCTACAACTATTGAAAATCTAAACTGTTTTTTTTATGATGATTAGTTTCAGAATTGTACTTTTAAAATATTGAATTTACAATTTGTATTTACAAATAAAAATTGTACTTTATAATTATCTGATTGAATCGTTGGGAGTTTTTTTTTTACATGCTATGATGGTATCTTATTCCTAGAGTTGTGTTTGAACCCTATTTTATGTTGGAGGCTTATTCTACTGGAGGTCTTTTGTTGGGTGGTTGTTCTTGGGTATTCTGCTATTAGGAGGCTTCTTAACACAACTTCTATGGTTATGTTGGTAGGCAGCTTCTCCTATGAATTTTATGACATTATAGCAGACCTGTTTTTTTTTTGTTGTAGTTTCATGAGTGTTTAGAAGTAGGCAAATCTTGCGGCTATTTTAGTTTTTGGCATTCTTTGTTGCTGAAGCTGATTCCTTTCTTTTTAGTGGCTGCTTCCCGAGTATTTTATGATTATAAATAGAGATTTTAGGTTTTTAAACAAAATATTGGATTTTAGAATTTTTAATTTTTTTAATATACAAATTTTTGTACTTCTAGATGAGACATGAAATTCCAAGAGAGATCATCTCCTTGTACAAGTGCAGTGCTTATTGTTTTGATGATTTACTTCCCATTTTTTCCTTTTTCTTTCTTCTAGTTATTTCTAGTTATTGGCTGAAAGTAAAATTAAGTTTTGTCTAAATTGTTATAATCTATGTTTCTATTTTATTGTAAGATTTTAATTCCATGCTTGACTTTTTAATCCTTGATTTTTGCATTCATTGAGATCTTATGATACTAATTTCATTGGATCTTTTAATTATGGCATTTTTTATGTTTCCAGACTTTGATTCCTATCTTCTTCCTTGTGATCTTCTCTATTATGGGCTTTTCATTCTGTTTATTTCAGCTTACTGTAGTTTTTTTTTTGTTACAAGATTTTCTTCTCCTCCTGTGATCAGTTCTTTGTATCTGCTTGATCATTAAATTTTGATTCCCTTTTATAATTTTCCTTGCAATTTACAACTTTGATACCCTTCTTGTGGCTCTTTCAATTTCAAGATAAGATTGTAATTTATCTTATGTTTTTTTCATATGAATTTCAGTGAGATTTTGTGATATATAAATCTTGTGGGGTTGAAACAAATATGAATCATTCTTTGGGATTTTTTACTTCTATTCAATGAATTTTTTGTTGGACTTACTTAATGCTAATGTTCTCTTAATGCAAGTGGAGATTGAGAATTTTGGGGGATGCTACTTCGAGGTAATAACATGAACATGTTACTACTATTGGCGATCTCTCCTTTTTTTTTTAATCCTCTAAATTGTAGTTGTTAATGTACATACGTGATTGATATTATTAAAACTTTGTAAAATCTGATTTCTACTATGATAGGATTTTCTTTTGGACGCATATCCTATACTTGTGAATCTATACATTACTTCCAATAGTTAGATTATTATCGTTAGATTTATTTAATTTTTTAATTTTATTTGGAGGAATAAATAGTTGGGTAAACTACAAATTTATAGGGCATATGTGATTTTACAAATTAAGTCTATATAAATTCTTGCCAATTAGTTTTGTATTGGACATTTTACTTTGGTCTGTTTGCAAAAAAAATGAAATGAATTTAAATGAAATAGATTAAAATAAGATTTAAGAAACTACAATGTGACTGTTCTTAGTTTCAAATTTATATTATATATTTAAAAAATATGTTCGGAACACAGAAGTCAAGATTTTATTGACTTGGTCAAAAGCCATGACTCTGAATCAAATTAATTTAACAACCATAGTGAATAATATTGTAGAGTTAGGGCGTTAGCAACCTTATTAAAGCGCACCTTAGCACAATATCCTCTAGATTCATAGGGCATTGTGTAGGACGTAACATGTTTTTTAAACATATCAAATAAAAAAAAATATGTATAAAAATGTAGCTAAGTATAGATGAACATTTTTTAATGATAACTAGATTGAAAGATAAAATATCATAATAATTAAAATAACTATATTTGTTAATAAAATTCTCACTCATAATATTAAACCATGATGCTTAGACTCAAGTGCTCATTTGATCAAAATTTAAAACGTTACAATTTTTATTGTAGGTATCATGCTTTTTTTAAAAACAAACTAATCATCTTAGGAATTGTCATCATTAGCCAAAATATCATCTCCTTTAACATTATAGTCTCGTAAATCATAATATTCTTCAATTTCATTATTTACATATTATTTTGCAAGTGTGCTAAACATTGATGAAGATTCATTTTCTTTTCCTATATATTCTTCTCAAATATTATATTTTTTTTCACAAACATAATTTGCTTTTGCTATAATATTCTAATTCAATTTTTCCTCATTTGGAGTTCGCAAAATCACCACTATCTTGGTAGCTTTTGAAGCTTATAAAATTATTGTTTCTGAGTCTACTTATGAGAAGTCGTCATGTAAAGGCCATCATAGTCAAAATCTTCACATTTTTGGACTTAAAGCCCACCATAATGATGCCCCCCCCCCCCGGTCATGTCTTCTTTTGTGTGCTCACTCAGTGTTGACGTCGTCACATGTGCCTTTCATTTTCGTGGACCCTAGTAAATATTCTACTAATAATAATAATAATACTATTATTATTATTATTTTATTATTTAGCAATAAGTAAAATAATTATTGTTCATATTAAGGAAAATGCATTTTGTTGTTAACCATATCTAGCACAAATAACACGCTTATTCTTTAATATGCAATTAGTGTGCATTTTCCACACTATCGTCAATACCATATGCTATTACTTGCTGTTCACATGCATGTTATCAACCTTGTTATCGACACTGGATTTGTGCGTAGGAGTACTTGTGTAGTCTTGGTGAAATTAAACTTATTTGGCATGTCAGGTATTCAATTTTCTTTTGGGTAGTTAAATTTTTTGAGTAGTTCATAATCAACAAAGTAAAGCACAAGCTTTTGGGGAAGTAGATAGTGAAGCTAGAACTATGGAGCTTCTATGATAACATAAAATTCATGCCATATGTTGAGTAAATATTGTGTCAATTTTTCTCAACTAAAGAATGTGATGGGTTGATCCACCTACTTGAGGACACCTCCAATGCCAATGCTTAATGCATCTCAAGAAGCACCACTAAAATCAAGTATTTTTAACATGAGTTTACATGTTAATAGTTTTTTAATTTTAGAGAAGGCTTTAGAGGCTTCTATTCAATGGAATTTAGGGTATGTTTGGGTGGCTGGCGGTTTGTTTTTTACAGTTTGAAAATAGCTATCACACAGCTGTTTCTGAATAAACGAACACTGCCCCTGTGCAATAATGCTGTTTAAAACAGAACTGTCATAGCAATATAGTGGATACTTTAGAAGGAAAAATCTACTTTAAAAAAGTTGAAAAAATAAGATACACACCTCACATAACAGTAAGTACCAAATGTACTTAAAAAAAGGTGTATGAACATTAAATTTTAAAAAATGATAATATTAATCTTAAATTCTGGCCAACGTATTTCCCGAGCTAGGTCACCATCCGGGGTTGCCATCCAACACCGATTACTATTGGCAGTGGAATCTGTCTGGTTGTCTGCCCACTTGACGAAGTCACACTTCTCCGAACCATTTGCCCACCACGGGCACCAGTAGAACTTTCTTCCGTAGCTATGTTAACGGTGTGACTTTAGTAGGGGAGATTGTAGTCCGCAGTGACAACACTCCTCTGGAGGTCTCTGAAATCCTAGAGCTCATCTTTCCTGAATGAATAAAAAGACAATCTATTAGTCATAACATAAGGTGAAATTACTAAAAGAAGTAATTAATTACAGTTTTTAACAGGCGTCAGGTCTTAGAAAATTCAACATACCAACAAAAAAATCAGTCACTACAAAAAGATAGTATACCTTGTATAAACATGAGTTCTCGATTGTCTTTAAGTAATGTAAAACCAACCTCCGGTGTGTCACATGTGCATATCACCAAAAAAAGTTATCCTAAAGAATCTCATAAACCAATGCACCGAGAAGAAGAGAAGAACTTGGTTGCCTTCATTAGGATATCACATGTAACGCTAACTAACAACTCTCAAGAGACCATCTAGAAGAATTCATAAAGGTCGAACGTCTCCTCACTGAGATCTCATACCCACCCAAAAAAAAAAGTGAAATGCAAAATGGAAAAATATAGCCCGTAGAAAGTGTGAAAAGTTCAAACCATACATATAAAATGTAAAGCATAAATTACTTTAAATAAAATAAATATATTACTAAATGTTCAATACACAATACTGAATGAATTACAAATACTCTTATGAGTCTCCTACTAATGCATCGGTAATTTGTTTCCTTAACTCCGTCATTTTGCTTTCTCCTTCGTACAGATAGTGGAAGGATCATTCTCTACTCGTGATAGAGAATGACCAAGATGTTACTCAAATGCCTCGGGTGGCACATGCTCTCGAAGCTTGTCAGCCCTACAAAAGTCAATGTTGCTACAAGAAGGATGCCGACGAATATAATTATTTAGAGTCATTGTTGCAATCACCCCAAGCCACCCACATCCACCATAACCTTAAGCCACAACCATCATAACCCTAAGCTATAGCCACCAATAACCCCAAACTACAACCACTAATATCCCCAAATTACATCCACCATAACCCCAAGCTACAACCACCATAATCCCATGATACACCCATCAATAACCCCAAGCCACAATCACAATAACCCCAAGCTACATTCACCATAACCCCAAGATCTAGCCACCATTACTCCAAGGTACACCCACCGATAACCCTAAATCACAACCATCAATAACCTCAAGTCACATCCACCATACCCCTAAGCTACAGCCGCCATAACCCCAAGCCGCAACCACCAATAACCCCAAGCCACATCCATTATAAACCTAAGCTCCAACCACCATAACACCAAGATACACCCACCAATAACCACAAGCCACAACCATCAATAACCTCAAGCCACGTACATCCACCAGAACCCCAAACTACAACCAACATAACCCCAAGATACACCCAGCAATAACTCCAAGCCACCTGCATCATAACCCCAACCTACAACTATCATAACCCCAACCTACAGCTACCATAACCCCAAGATACGCCCACCAATAACCACAAGTCTCAGCCACCAATAAACCAAACCACAAAAACCAATAACACCAAGCCACAACCACCAATAACACCAAGCCACAACCACCATATGCCCCAAGCTACACCCACCATAACCCCAAGATACACCTACCAACAACCCCAAGCTACACCCACCAATAACCCCAAGATACAACCACCAATAATCCTAAGTCACATGAAGTTGTTGGTACTGCAAGAAGCCACCAACAGAGGACAAACATATGCACCAACTCACAACTACCTTTTCACCAGCAAGATAGAAACATATGCCCTAACCCACAACCATCATCAAACAACAAAACACAACCATATGCCCCGACCCACAGGCACCATCTCATAAGCAAACCACAAGCTATGCCCCAACCCACAACCACCATCACATCAACAAAGCACAACCAAAAATGCCCCAACCCATAGCCACTAGCTCATCATCAGCATACCATGAAGCGTAAAAAGAAAATCAACATTCACATACATACCACTGAATTCATATGTATTTACATATCCAACATCTAAACATTACTTATAACATGTATACCATTACTTATAACATTGTATACCAAACAAAACCCTTCATCTCATAAAAAAAAACCATAAAAACGACTCAAAGGAAAAGATATGGAGTTGTATGTAGCTTGCGGTTATTGGTATACCAACCGAAACCTTCCACCAAAATTCTAGTTTAAACCCAAAGAGTGCATCAATAACTACTCAAGGATGAAGTCCTATGTATGTAGCCTTCCATAAAAATGACAACAAACTATCAACTACTCAAGCATCATTCCAACAAAAAAAAAATGGCAACAAACTACACAAGAATCGAGTGGTATGTATGTAAACTTCCATAAAAAAGCGCAGTTTAGGTGGAAGATATGTAACTCCAACAAAATAGAGTGGTATGTATTGTTGCTTACCAGATGGGAACAAAGACGGGAAGAACCGGGAGATAGATCGCAGATGCCAAGAAGGAGACGAGGAAGCAAGAAGAGAAGACGAGGTGAGAGATCGCAGAGGGCGAGAGCTTGTAGACGAACAGATCCGAACACGCACTAAGGCACAGGGGCGTTCGCAAAAATGGAGGGCAACGCCGTATTTTGGTAAGTAGAAACCGCTAGCCGCGGGATCAAACCCTTGCCCCGCGTTTTATGAATAACGCGGTTTGCTGCGGCAAAAATCTTCGCCTCAAACACTTCAAAATCGCGGCAAAAACTTTGACCCAAACGGGGTCTTAGCCTTCTTTGGACACCACTTGACTAGGGTCATATTAAAACTAAATCTATAAATAGGTCTCTTGCTAATCGACACTCACTATGAAAACTATTCACAAAATGAATGGAGATTAGTATAGGCCAATTCAAAATAACCTTGAAATAACCTTGATTTTTTCAACATAAAAAAAAAAAAAATCATCACAAGAAATGATAAATTTCAAGGATATCATTGAAAATGTCATAAATGAACACTTCTTCACGTGGACATAATGCCTCAAAGAAAAGAATATCGTCAAGTACACAACCAAGAACTTTGTAATAAATGATCATAATATGTGCATCATCATGTTTTGAAAGTGAACTCAGTTGGAAACCATATTACTATTAGGGAAGTGACCTTATGGTTGGTTTACTCAATGTGGTCAAGGCAACCTAGGCAATAAATAGGGCTTTGTGAAACTCTTGCTCTAATACATGTTGGCTAATGACTTGGAGGGATTTTCTTTTATCTTGGTAAAATAGTCTTTTATCTTGGTAAAAGAGTTTTATGGTTGTTGTGCAGCGAGGGTTTTCCATTTTATATCCTCCCTAAAATTCTTTAGGATACCTCTGTGGATTTTTAATAAATTGCATCGTGTCCTTTCCTCTCATGCAAGCTTCTGACTATTGTCTCTTTGGTGGCATGGCTAGGGTTTGGATTTGGGTAGGTGGAAGAGGTTGTACAGGGGATGTATAGGGTGGGAAAGAAAAATTTTAGGTAGCCGGTTTGGAAAATTAGCAAAGAGAAGTTTTGGGTGGAGATAGGGTTGAGTCATGGTGGATGCCAAAAACCCTAGGAGGAATAGGGTTAGGCTAGGGAGGATAATAAATAATACCGTAGTTAACGCAAATAATGATGGGAAATGCACTTTATTGCTAGAAATAAAATAGGGGTTAGAACACTCGCTTATAGAAATAGAAAATAACAACGATAACACAACACAACCGCCAAACCAGGGCTCAGGATGATTGTGGTGGTATGGCAGCGGTAGGTAGGGTTGTGAATTTAGCTCGAAGATCCTTAATCGCTTGAATTTGATTTGAATTTTGGGTTGGATCGAAATAAACAAGTCGAGCTATGAACCAAAATTTTGGATCAAATTTTTTTTGAACCAATTTGGAGCGAACCCTAGCTCAATTCGCAATCGAATTGTTAACAACCCTAGTGATGTTAGGTTGTGAATTTAGAGAATTTAGCTCAAAGATTGTTAATCCCTTGAAAATTGATTTGAATTTTGGCTTAGATCAAGATCGGGTTGAAATAAACGAGCCGAGTTACAAACCAAAATTTTGGATTAAATTTTTCTCGAACTGCCCCGGTTAGCTCCAAATCAGATCATTAACAACCCTACTGGTTGGCAGGCCGCAACAAACTTGCGGCTGGCTTGCTGTAATGGGAGGAAGGCTGCTGGTCGGCGGCTGGCTGCAGCATGCTGGCGGCTGGACTGGCGGCAAGTGGGATCAGTAGGCAGGGCGGCAGCTGTGGGGATATGTGGGCTGGTGGCAAGGAGAGGAGCTGGAGGGAGGATTGTGGAGGATGGATAGGACGAGGATAATCATCACCTCGGATGAGATACGGCCGAAGCTGCGCTCGTTGTCAGATATAGCTCTGAATGGAAAAACTGGACGGCGACAGCTGCCTTGAAAGAAAACTGAATCAAAACCTCCTTCTAACATAATAGAAAAATAAATATAACCTAGGGTAACTTGGGATTGGTCTGACGTTAATTGACGGCAAGGTAGGGCCGGCCAGCTCCTTGGACCTTCCCACTTGAACTGGACGACAGGTTAAGGCGGAAAGAAGCGCAGCACCCTCAATTTCCTGCTGCAGGACCCACAGCAGTCCGGTCCAGCCTCCTGCAGCAGGGCTACATCCGCGTCAGGCAGAGTGGGATAATTAATGCTAACGAAACAAAGAACTTGTTTTGTTTCTCAGAGTTCCTTCTCCAAGGATTAGGAGCTCACAATCAGGAGGCCATTCCCTTCACAGGTGGGAAGCACACAATGAAAAAATAGAAACAATGTGTTTTATCTCTTTCATAGGCAAGTGCTTTACATTTTAAGATAGACTTTATTCATACGAATAAGGAAGAGTTACCGAGATTTAAACCTACTATCAATTTTAATAACCTAATGGTTCATTGCAGTCAATGACAAATAAATGATCCTACAAACATATGACAAAATACAACATCGTAGTCCTAAATATCACAAGGGTCCATCAAAATAGAACTATTTAAAAAGAAGTAAATACAATCTGACATGTTTTAGGTAATGAGGATAAATTAAAAAAAATTATGGTGTGAGAACTGGATTCTAGAAGGACAATGATCATGATAATTATGATGTCCAGTATTTAGCCATCGGTCTAGATCTTCTAGGTTGGCAGGTAATTCCAAATGTGCAGTCTTCTGCCTAACTGCAGACGATCTAGACCTTATTCTCATAAGGTCTTATTTAAAAATACAGGGGGCATTTACATACATGCCACACAATTCTTACGTATTTGCATATCCCCCCCACAAAAGAAAGAGAAAAAAGTGACTCCTTATGATTTTTTCATATTTACATTCTCTTTCATGAACTGGAATTGCCAGCCACACTTGGTGATGTATTAAACCATGAAATGCAGGGTTCAAGGGGATACCAGCTCAAAGATCCCTCTTTTGCAATAAAGACTCCCACACCCATGCAAAAGGAACCAGCTAACCGGTTGAAGCCGCTTCAAGCTTCTGGTTTTACTAAACCTATAGATCCAGTTGAGGAAGCTGCGACTACTGCTGCATACAAAATAGCTGACGCAGAAGCCAAAGCATTTCTGGCTTCTGAAGCAGTCAAGGAGGCAGAAAAGATTTCAAAAATGGCAGAGGAGACGGATTCATTGCTTATGTTGGCAAAGGAAATATTTGAAAGATGTAAGCTCAGTGCCTGTTTCATTATTTTGAGTTCAAGGAATAAAATATGCAACTCATTTTGGGATCCACTTACGGATCACACTATCCCTTCCTATGTATTTATATATCTAACATCTGAACTTTAATTTTTATATTAATAAAACACTAAAATTTTTTATATTTAAAAGTGAAATCCTTTTCATGTATAGGTAAAGTGTTTTAAATGTAAAAATGAAAGTTTAGGGGCTAGCAGTATGACTGCATAAGAGTTATGTGGTATTTATGTAAATCCTCCATTTTGTTTACTTGTTATTCTCATATCTTTTGTCAAAAATTGCAGGTATGCGCGGTGAAATAGTGACCATGGCTTAGCCTGGCGGTACCATAAGATATGCCTGCTTGTTGAGAGGTTATCTTTTGTTGTAAATTTAGAATCTTCCTTATTTTTGAACTTTGAATCTGGTCATTTGCACAAATTCATGTTATTTGCTCTTTAGCCTATTAAAAAAAAAAATTGAAATAACTCAACTAATGCGCATTATTAGTTGAATGTTTATATGGCTTAATTTAAAAATTTTATTTAATTGATTTGAATTGAAAGGATATTTGATCTGGTTTAAGTTTTAATTTAACCAGCATGGATTGTAGAGAAAGTTGTCAATGCAAAAGTATGAAGGATAGAGGATTAAAAAATGGTGCTTGTTTGTATTTAAAAAATGGTAGCTCGGGTTTTGAGTAGCTTTTATTAGTTTTTTTTAGGTGGCTAAATAATGACATTTATTTATTCCTCTCCAACTTAATAGCTGCGTATGAATAATTATACGAATATATTTATATATTTTGTCATGTATATCATACAATTTATTATTTTAAGCAGATCGTGTATTTGTGAACAGTTGCTGGGAGAGCTTAAAAAAAATGCTCTTTCATTTGTTTAATAAATATAGAAATATTGCACTTGAGCTAGCTCACCCTATACATAATATCTGTTTCATTATTTTCAAGGAAATGATAAATGAGCATGCAAGAAAATATCACCATTATTATTATTGTTATTATCATTTTTATTATTATTGTAAACGTAAAAGCAGCCATTTCTCTTTTGATTAGATCACAGTACCAATCTTAAGATCTTCAACTAGTAAAGTCTTTGGTCATACATAAATCTAGATTAAAAAGCTTAATTAAATTAAGCACGTGTAATAAACTAAATGCATGTGACCAAATTATGAATTTATTAAATAAAGATTTACATACATACAACTCAATAACTATGTATTTTCATAACATTTAAACTTTATTTTTTTTACATGCGTGCCACTTTACCTATCATATATGCATGAAAAGATGTATTCATTTTTAAGAAGTTAAAATGCTGTTAATTTTTATGTGATGGGAGAGATTTGGGTGATATAAATATGAAAAAGAAAAGTAAAGTTTAAGTTTTGAATATGTAAGCAGTTCGGTGCAATGTAAGTAAATGACCCCTTTATTAAAAAGCTAACTTATATTTAAGGCCAGTATTTTGAGATTAGGTGAATGCTTCGGGAGTTATTTGAGGGGTCACTATGAATGTTATTGGAGGCAACACAATTTATCTATTTGGAATAATGTTGCCTGAATTAATCCTCGTAAATGCACAATATATATATATTTGAGAGGTGAAAAAAAAGCATGAGATGAAATTGAACACTTCAAATTGAAGTTAAATAATTTTAAAAATATAGATGTCTTAGGTATATTATATGATTGATAATATCAAGAAACTTCATCAGTAGACTTCATGAAATTGCAATAAAATTTTGTTATATTGTACAAAAAAAAAAAAAGTGTCGGCTTGAATCTTGAAGCAATCTAGATTGAAGAAGATATGACGACAAACCTTTTAACGAAAAGCTAGGAGACCTCACGAATCCGATCAACTGGTCGTCCAGAGTTGAGTAACCGTTCCACTCAAGGATCGATAAATTGACAGTCGCACTTAAGTACAGACCGATGTCTCATCAAAAAGTCGACCAGACAAAGGTCTAGCTCCATCGACAACCGAACTGCGTTAACACAAAGTTCCCCCAAGGGTAACCAAGGACCGGCTTTCAAAAAAGCCGACTAGCCATATGAAGTCGATCAGCCACCCGTCCAAAAGTCGGCCGACAACTTTTGACCAATAACCGACAGAGGCTAGTTCAAATGATAGAGCCAGAGAACGACAAAGCCTTGGGGTATAATTCCTAGAATGACTTGTACAACCCTCCTTAAAGCAGGGTTAAAAATGTAATTTTCCTTCATTGCTTTTCCTCTTCCATAAATATAAGGGCCTTTCCTGTAATGATACATTTGGCCTCTTCCTTCTCTCATGTAAGAATGGACTTTTGGCCTCTCTTTCCTCTCATGTAAGAACGGACTTTAGCATCCTTCCCCACTTCATATACAAATGATACTGCATTATGAAAAGAGCCACAAGAGATCGGGAATATCCATTTTATCCCTAGGGGCAAATCATTGTGCACTCCTCTCTCTCTCTCTCTCTCTCTCTCTCGTCTCTCTTGATTCAAACGCTCTCATCCCTTGGGTATGCCTCTTAAACAAATCTGGATCAACATGTGCTTTAAATAAGCATTGGTGGAAATTTCAAACACGAGTTATAAATAATTCATTTTATTATTCAGATCACACAACAAAAAATAGATGTTCCAATAAGAAACAAACATAAGAGAGATGTTAAATAACTAAGGGGAAAAATTAGAAAACCAAAATTATTATTACCTTAAATATTTTTTAAATAATTAAGAAATCATGCATCACCCAATAGAAACAAAATACAAATAATTAAATCAGGTTATGAATCATGTGAAATTGACAATTTAACTTGTGAAGTAATAAAAAGTAAGAGAGATTTAGATACAATCACAAATTTTTTTTTATTTACATATCTCAAACCTAGAACTTGATATTTACATTTATAATACTCAAATTTGTAATACAATATCAAACAATTCATTATTACTAATTTTTTTAAAAATCCAAATTCACCTCTTACACATAATTATTATGTGATTATCCAAAAGTTTATAACTTCAAATATTAAACTATTGATATTGGATATTTAAATAAATAAAAATAAAAATTAAATATACCAATTAAGACATTTGTAAAAAAAAATCATTTTTTAAGCCAAAAAAAAAAAAAAAAAAAAAAAAAAACAATTGAAAAGGTACTATAACCATGTATAGTATACATGTGTCACAACAGATTTTCTAAGGAAAATCCCTTAACCTAAATTAAAATCAACTAGCACTTTTAAAATTTTGAACTTGATATTTCTATTTGATGTAAGCTAAAACAGTAGAGTTGAGCTATACATCTTCCATTATTCTCAACCAAGATATCAAAATCAAGTTGGTCATTCCGAACTGATTATTTAGGTCAAAATCCTTGAAAAAAATCTAATTGTTAAGGTCAAATCAAGCATGGTAGGTCTGTAATCTTGTCATGTTCAAAACTCACCCGGGGGAACAGTAGAGCTGCTCCAAATTGAGCAGCAACTTTTTAGTGGAGAAAACCCATCATTTCACAATATTAGTAACATTTGTACACTTATAAAAAAATTTCAAAATTAAAGAAACATAGTTACTAAATGCACAATTCGAACAAAGCATAATGTATACATTTATGTAATGTTCAAAATGCAATTTTCAATAGCTAGAACAATAAATAATTCACCTGAGACTACGTGTAATATTAAAAATATACATTTCACATTCTAGACAAGTATAGATAGCACAATTTTTCAGTATCTTCACAGGTTCTCCAAGCCACAAAATAGCTAATAAGACTTGTTGAATCAAAAAATTCAGGGCAGTGCATAATAACACATGGTAGAACATGCTTTTTTGAACACCTATATAAAAAAAAAAACTATAATAAGAAAAGAATTTCATCTCTTTCAAGTCTACAATTTACTTTGGTGTTTTCTAAATTGTGTATGATCAAAATTATATGATCAGCAAGGGAGTACTTGTAAGAAGTAGAATCTTCTTCCAATAAACTACTTTGAAGTACAAAAATTTTCTTGTTTTCAGTCAGCTGAAAATCACATACTAGACATTAGGATCGAATAAATTATGAAAGGATAACAAATCGTCTAAATAGAAATGCTCTAGGTGCTGTAACACAACATGAATTAATACAAAATATCAACTGTAAAAAATAAGATGTAGTAGCCGGAATATACCTAGAAAGATGAGGAAAAGAAGAATAATAAATACTTTAATAATTTTTCAAAAGTTCTTATTTGACATTGTTCGTAAGAATATGATTAAACATTCTTTTAATAATTTCACCTATATGAGAGTATTTTTCTTATGTCAATTTGCTCAAAACACACTTTCAACATTTAAGGAGATATGATAAAATTATCTTAGAATAGTATATTGAAGTTCCCAACCATTGAGAAAAGCCACATCTCTCAAATAGCTATGAGCACCATCACAATATATCTAGTGCCTCGTAATTTGATAAAACATTCCAATGAATTTAGTCAGTGGTCCAAGTTTGAAATGCTGGGCATAATCTTCCTTGCATTTTCTAAAGGTTCCTACAACCAAATCTGTGTAAGGATAGATATATAGATTCAGATCAAGCATAGATCATTGATTTCTTCGTGAAACAACTAATGATCATTTTGAGAATCCTTGTCAGTTGTTACCAAACATCATGTTATCTTTTACTCTTGATAGCCCAAAATAAATCAATTAACACTTCAAACTCATACTATGTTAAAAATAATGATGAAAACCCAATTCAACCAAAAATAAAATAAAAACACAATTTTTGTGGTAGAAAATTTGTTGTTTTTGCCATAAATAAAGATAAAACAGTTCACTAAATTATAAAAAATGAACATGGAGAGATTATAATTTATAAAAAATTTTGAGATTGATAGGATGCAACCTCCTACTATAAAGATTAATGACAAGGGTTGGATTTAAATAATATTTTGAATTTGCTCACTTCCCTCTCTGCGCGGAATTTCAAACACGAGGTTATCCCTTGTATTGTTGAGATTTCATCATCTTATTGGAAAAAAAAAACAATAGCAGCTCCTCTTGCTTGAGGATGATAAAGGCCTCCCTCACAAGCACTTGAAAACTCCTTTACTTATTGGCAAACCCTTTACCATCTCTCTCTTCTTCTCACCATTTCCTCTTTATCTTTTTTTTTTTTTTTTTTTTTTTGCTTCTTAGTGTGAAAGAACAAGCCCCTTCCATAAAGCTATATTTATAATGGCAATAAGATAACATAAATCAATCACAACACAATTTAAAAAATTGCGAGATCTATAGACCCCTCCCCCTCTCAAAGATTACTAGAACATCATAGTTGCCTCATAGCCTAAAAATAAGCATCATATGATCTCTCTAGAATAAAATTTAGTAAGAGATTTGTGTTAAATGGAAGATACCTATCAAATCTTGAAAAAAATCAAATGCGGGGAATTTTGGTATCACACATTTAATGGTATCCTATTAGAAATGGAAATTTCTAGCAATGTTTGCTTAATGAGATGTATACAAATATCTTTT